AAAATTTGGTTTTTATATTCTATTTGTATACTAATTATTTATATCTAAAAACATATATGATATAAAGATTTTTTTTTACATTTATTCTTTATAAAACATAGTTCAAATAATAATAATTATATAAAAATCTATATGTTTATTAAAAAGTTTTATTAGTAGAAACTTTAACCTGGCCACAATACCCCCACCTCCCTTATATAGGGCGGCCAAATTGCTTGTTTAATTATAAAATTATCTTGATTTTAATCCTCTACAGTTTTATCAAAAACAACTTTAGAAAAAATTTAAGACCACCAAGATGTTTAGCTTGGATGGTTTTAATGTTTTATGAAAAGATTTCTTGGATACTATTTTTTTGTAAACAAGGATTAGTATTTTGAATTTAGTTAAATTTATTTGTTGGAACTAGGTTGTTTGCACTGTATCTTGGGATAGATTCCTCAAGGTCGCTCAATTTTTTTGTTATATACTAGACCTTCACTTTGATCCAGATAATAATTGAAAAAAAAGATGATTGATTTAATGTTTTTAAAAAATAATTATCGAATAAAAGACGTTGAAAAGCACTAATTTCTAACTGGTTGCACTTCACATTTAGGCCAATTATAAAAATCATTACTGAATCTACGTTTAAAAGGCATGTAAAAAAGAACCAGTTACTGATAACAAAGTAAAAATTTTGCTTCGCAATTGCCGCCTAAACATATACAGTCGTCCTCCCATACAATCATACAGTTGGGCACATAGTAAATTTTTTTAAAAAAGTTCTTATAAAGGGTTGTGCTTATATAGAGGTTTTTCTTATGAATTAAATCATAGTTTGACCTAAACATAAGTGTGGTTATATATAATGTGATGATATGGGAGGTGACTATATGGAGGGGCGACTGTATTACTTAGTTAAGTATGAAATTATTTCTTGAATACGAACAATGAAGTGTGAATTTTTTAAATTTAAAAAGACCTCAAATCTTTATATAAATTTATAGTACACATTCAAATTTTTATTATTTAAATATTTTACCATCCGCGAATTTCTTGCCGTCAAGATGACCATCCCAAGCCTAATTTGTAAATATGTTTCGAAAGTGTTAGTTGACATGAATGCAAATTACTGTATATGAATAACATCTACAATAAAAGCTTACCAAATAATCCTCGAAATTGGAACGAACTTTAGGATTTGTATGATCTACCTTTTTGAATTCATAACATTCGAAATCTGCAGCATTACTTACTATTATTCAGACAAACAATAAACGGCTTAGTATTCATTGAGGGTAATCAAAATTATTAACTCCATTGTTTTAAAAAACCTCAACAGTATACCTTCCTCTGGTATTTCTCGTCCACGAATAACAAAATATCCGGCAATTTCGTTTTTATAATCTGTAATGGTAAGTTGTAATTAGTCATTTAATCTTTAAAATATTATCAAATTGAAGAATTTTACCTTCGCCAAAAACCAACAAACTTCCGAATGCAAACTTGCGCGCTCGCTCTAAACGACGGAAAAAGCCGCCAATAAGGTTACTGCTCATATAGATTTTTGTTAACTCATCATTATATTTATAGTCCACACGCCAAATAGAATATCCTTCCGAATCATAATGACCCCAGAACCAATTAATAGCATCTGGACGTGTATTATTGTTAGAATAGAAACGCTTCCATTCCTCCAAGTTAAGCTTGCTGGGAGGCAAAAGGACCAAGTTGCTTGGAGGCAAAATGTCCAGGTTGCTGGGAGGAAAAAGGTCTAACTCGCTCTTAGATTTTGATTTCTTCGATTTCTTATATTTTTCCGTGCGTGGTGGCAACGTTTGCGTCATAATTATGCGAGATGGGAGAATTGTTGATGATACTTGTCGATTTGGGTTTGCAATTCTTTTTAATATGTCTGTCCAAAGATCTTTTTCGAGGATTGCTTGATATGGTTCTATATGATCAATAATATCATCTCCTGATATTTGGAAATAACGAATAAGAGGTAAAAAATTTTGTAATTTATTTTTTAAAGCCTGAAAATTTTCATTAGTCCAATTTTTAGGATCTGGTGATAATTCAGGGTTTTGTGCAATTCCCCATTTAATTATATAATCCCAAATTTTTACTTCTTCCATTTGTAAATCATCTCGTTTAATAAGAGAGACTAAAGCATTTTCTTGAATAGATGTGAAATCTTCTGATTCAAAAATTTTATTTGGATATTTTACTAAAAAATCATTGCACCATTCTTGTAATTTTTGATATTGATTATTTTGAAAACTTTTTGGATATATACGTGTAAAATGTAAACGAAGCCAACTAGCTTTTGTTTCAATTAAATGAATCTCAATATGTTTAGCTAATTCTTTTAGAAGAAACTCTGAAGCAATAAGCATAAGTTCATAAATGAATGCTGTGTCTTGATCTTCTAATAAAACCACTCCTCCGTAAATATATCTTTGGTAAATTTGTATTAAAATTAGTTATTTGCATATGATTTGCATATTATTAAAAATATATAGTAAGTTATATAATAACTTACTTAATAATGATTTCAAATTGTTGAATAGAAACATTTTTTAAATTAATTGTTTTAATATTATTTTCATCCTTAATAGTGGTTGCTAATTTGTCCCGAAAGTACAATGACCTATATCTCAAAATATTTGAATGTACTCGGAATATTTTTGTATGTGGGGCTTCTCCAGTATTAATGATTACATTAAAATCTTCTTTATCATCGAGAAGTTCAAGGTAATCCGTTGAAAGCTTTTTTAAATAAGTTTCCGTCATTTTGAGTTATCTTTACGTGTGTACGTACGTATGGGAAATACTTATTTGTGCAACATAAAGGAAATTCAATGTAACAGCAATTGCTGTAAGTAGGGTTCATATAGGATAACTTTCTCGTGATTGGTCGATCAGTGAAATTAAAATAATTCGCTATGATTGGTCAGATGATATAAA